TGGCCCGGCCCAAAAGAAAAGGTTTGCATATATTTTTGATTAATTGATGTCATATTTGATTTGATTAATTGTGCTTTAATTCTAAATAGTTTTGTCAACAAATAGATATTTGAATAAATGCACCTCCAAATTTTTCAATCTTTACACAATTTATAATTTTTATATCATTTGAATCTTGAGTAGGTGGTGAATACTAGAAAAGATAAAGTAAATGTTTAAGATCTTGGTTTTTCTTGTCCATTTCTATGTTGCAAGTCACAAACCCAAATTCAAGTTGCAAGTCAAAGTCTTTGTCTTTGTTGTACACGTTAAGTTGTAAATCAAGGTCTTTGTGGTCCATGATATGAACAATATTTACAAATAAAATTTATTAATTATGCAGTCTATATATTTTGGTTGGACTATGTAGTTTGTTAATATGACCATAACAAAGTGTTTTCCTAAAAGTCCTCATTTTTGCAATCTATTTTGGTAGAAATATTTAGGCGTGTCAGTTTGTATGAAAATTAAGAAAAGAATTTTTTTTGACAACTCTCTTCTCTTAAGCGATAAACTTTCGTATTGAAAGGTTGAAATTACTAGATTCACCAACAAGCTCATCCTCAATACTTTTTTGGACACATATACATTTCCCATGGACACATGACATTCTTTGTTTGGGTGTTATTTATGGTGTAAATATTGTGATATTATTGGTAAAATAAGAAAACTTATTTGGTGTGTTTAGTTTAGTTGATTTTTTTAACTTATAATTTTTTTTCTTAAATGCCTAGTTAGGATGTTTAGAAACACTAACTTATAGACTCATTTCAAACTATTAAGTAATAAATACTAGGTGTTTTATTAACTATTAACTAATAATTATAACTATCATTTGTTCTTAATAAATTGAACAAAGCTATTATTATTATTATTATTATTTTAAAACCTCACTTAGATATGGTTGGTTGAACGAGACCCAATTATAACAAGAAGTTGGGCACATACTCTAACATGTTTTAAAGAAAAACCCACAAAACTTGACCAACACAGCAAACTTATTATTGGGTTATAAAAATCTCTCATTAGCAATTTGAAGTCAAAAATTTTAATTTTTATAAATTTTATAAATATTGAAAAGTAAAATTAAAAAATAAAAAATTTAAGTGTGTGTATAATAACACTTTCATTTTTTTTTTTTGCCAAAAATTTAGCAATTCGATGGCAACCAAAATTAAAAAACCAACAAAAAAAATTAAAAACAAAACCCGACTTATTTAGTAAGTTTTCAAAACAAATAACCAAAATTAAAACTATGTTTAGTTCAAAAAATCATTTCTCTTTATTGACACCTATATTAGACTAGAGTAAAAATCAAGAATTTCTTTTAGAATGAGTTTTTAATGTCAATTTCTATGCTCATCAGTTACTTTATAAGTATTTTTTTTATGTTAAAATGATTAATTATATAATAAAAAACAACTTTTTTCTTTCTGCCCCTCATCCACTTTAAAAATATTATCAAGGTCTCAAAACAAACATGCAATTTTAGTACCTGCTTCTTTTTTTTTTTTTTTTCAGAACGTTTCCAAAAGCTTGGAAACTTCTTGTGAATACATGTCATTGGTATTTTAAAAAAAAATGAGTTTTTATTAAAAATACTACTAAAATTTTGGCAATAAAAGAAAAAATAGAAAACAGAAGTGTTACTAAACGAGAAATAACGAGCTATTTGTGTTTTTCATTTTGGCCAAGATAAATATTGCTTGGTTGAAATTGCAAGTCAATTCCTTGTTGGCCATAATATTTATGCAAATGCTTTTAGGCTATTACAATGAAACTTCAAATAATGAGTAGGGCTAAAGAAAATAAGGACCATTTGCGATAGTCTTT